CAGCTCTTGTGCCTTCATCTAACAAATGCTGCAAAAATGCAAAAGGCCCTGTTTAAATAACCAGTTTTCACACATGGCTGCAAGTTCCAGTAGTTATTGACATTAGGTAGCTGAAGCAATACAGTGAAGCATTGGAGCACCATTTATCTTAATGTTCCATATGACAAGTTCACATCAATTTTATTTATTGGGGGAGTCAGAGCATCAAACAATAAAATCTGTTAACATTACTTTATCTTCTTTCTAAAGGGATGTTCTTTATTTCTAAGCTTGATGCACTTTTTTGGAATGCTTTTGTGGAAGATTATGATAAACAGGCACTTTTTTTTCATCTGATGCTCTTCCTAATTGACTGTTCACTAGACTGGAGAGGTGACATGATTTAAAAGCAAATTATTTTCAGTCAACTAATTTATCTTGAGATAATGAATGTGCTGAAAATCCTCTGAAAAGAAAGTAGGGCATTGTTGTGATCCAATTTCTTACAGCAAAACTAACTCTAGCAAATGATAATGCCTTTGTTCAAGAAATATGTCATTTTTGAAAAATTTACTATAAACAATAAGACTTAATTGTAGGCAATTCTTCAATACTTAATTAGATAAGAGTTGCAGATTTTTCAAAATATACAGACGTTGATGAGACACAGCTTATATATGAGGATATTCCAAAGGCAAAATCAACAAACAAGGCTATGTAGCCCTTAACGAGGATGTGACTTGTTATCCTGTGACCTGCGATGGCAGTAATGCCATCCATCCTTTACACAAACTCCCAATGCCAGTTCTCTATGTCAATACTTAAAGAAAAACATTTTACAAAATACATTGCATATACACGTTAGCTGTAGGCCAACATGCTATTTTTACTTTTATTTTTAAAAGACAACTACAAAGAAAACAAAAAAAAAAGTAATTGATGGGTCTAAAATCCACAGCTTCTTGCTCTTCCACTTTCCTTACAGAACTGACCATTTTCCCATGTATTTACAATTCAGTTATCTATCAGTCAACTAGTTGAGTCAGGGCTGTTTGCCAGTTTAAAGTAACTCTAGTAGATTAGCACTAGCTCTATTCTTTCTCTCACACAGCTAATTCAATCCTTCAGCTCCAATACCAGTAATGTATGTGGTTTACAAAAATGAAAGTGCTGTCCTATTTTAAAGAAGGGTTTTGATAATTGAAGGAAACCTATGGTGAATTAAATAAGTTAGGCCGCTTTTGTGGTCTTTCTCTGAATATCATCACACAAGTGAATATTGAAGGGTAACAACACTATATTTTGGTCATGACCAGTTTACACTTAAAGCTGAAAAAAAAGCCTGTGGGGAAATGTATGGATTGAAGGTGAATATTGTGGCAACATTTTTTTTAGTTATGTTATCTTTATAGAGCCCTGGTGCCCAACATGCAGCCTGCATGTAGCCCATCAGCCCTCTGTGTGTGGCTAATGGGCAATAGTCAGATTGAAGAATGCTTGGTGCTGGAATGCTATCTGTGTTCCAGTACCTGTCACTGAAAGAGAGAGACTGTACTATGCTCGCAGTACATTAAAGGTCCCAAAGTGGAGAGAGAGAACAGTACAGGAGCATGTGATAGACAAGTGATCAACAATGGAGTAGGGTTAACAATTTCACTGGTATGACTTCCAGTGCTGGAGGGGAGATTAGGGGGTACTTTTACTACCATGATCACCAATACAGGATGGAGGATGGGGTTAACACTTTCACTGCCATGACTTTAACTGCTGGGACCATCAATATAAGAGGGTTAACTTCCACTGCCATGACTATTAATAAGGGGGGTTTAACTTTTATGGCCAATACAGGGGGGGGTGGGAGGGTTAACTTGCAATGACCCCAAGTGTGTGTGTGGAGGGAAGGGGGTTAACTTTCACTGCCATGACCACCATGTGAGGGGTGTGATGAGGTTACCTGTCACTGTCACTGACTATCAATGCAGGGCTGGTGGGTTTAAATTTCACTGCCACTGACCACCAATGAAGAGGAGTGATGGGGGGGGGGGGGGTTTAACTTTCAATGCCAATGTATAATGTTAATTGTACTGACACCAATACTGGAGGTTAATATTGCGGCTACTGACACAAATGCTGGGGGTTATTGTACTTCAACTACTTCAGTGTGCATTGAGATATGCTGCAAAAAAAAAGAGAGCAGGGCCAAAATGTTTGAGCATTGAGATGCAAAAATGCTTTTGTGTGACCTTCTGGAAGTGTCGGGGCTGCACTTGTGGCCAGCACTGTTACATAGGACATTCATTTTTATCTTGTTATTTCTTTGTTAGAGTTTCAAATGAAAGTAGAGTTTCAAAGGAAAATACTTCACACTTGAAAAATCTTCTAAGTAAATAAGGAACACAATTAAAATAACAATGAAAAAATTTGTTTTTATGTATATTTATAGCAACATATACATGGGAGATGTAGAGTTAAAGAGAGAGGGAAAAACATGGTTGGCAGAAAACCATATCATCTGTTTTCTCCCACGACAGCACCTGACCTGTGTTTGCTTCAGTATTCTTGCCAGCAACAGAACCATAAACAAAATGATTCACAATAAAAACTCAGCACAACATGTAACTATATAAATAATATATTTTCCCTATGTTTATCAACACAAACCCATATACAATATCTTGCAGGTAAGATGGTGCCAAAAGTAAGAAACAGTTACTCAACACAACTAGCAAAGAAATTCCCCCATGTGTGAAGTTGTTTTAGTTTTTTTGGACAAATAAAAAGAAAAGGATCTGGTAAGTCAGAAAATGTTGATCTCCCATAGTCTTTGAATTATGTGCAGTTTGGAGCCCTTTTTGTTTCTTGGTCAATTCAATTTTTTTTCTTATTATTTTTTTTTTTTTATAATAAACTGTATATAGTCTTGTGCACAAGTACACAGTACACTACTATTAATTAGTAATACAGCAAATATTTTTCTTAGTTTACTCTGTACTTGTTGATGGTATGAGGTACCCTTAAGATGTAGCCTATCCTTTTCTATATTAAAAAAAAAAAAAAAGCATTTGTCATTCCTTTTTTCATGAAAATGCTTCATAAACATTGATCTCTGTTTGCTATTCTATTAGCTTGAGTAAATAATGGAAAAGAGCTGTTTACTAGTTTTCTTTCAATAGGAGGAGTGGCGGTGACCATTGCCTTTAAACAAAAAGAGCTACCTATCAGTATCCAACTGGAAGTCTGCTTTTAAAGCGTATGTATTGTTTCTAGCCTACTCCTATTAATGTGAACAATTTACTTCCTTGAATTTTGTGATAAGTATTCACTATACCATGTGGGCAGGCACTGCTGCATCACATAATTTGCAGAGTTGCTTTATGAACTACAGAGGTGCTGAGAGGAGGAGTTTCAAGAGGTAGAGTCAGTACAGGAATCACTGTTTGCAGGCAGCAAGGTACCATGGGATATGTAGTCCTTAGAAATTGAAAGTAAACAGCAGAGGAGGTGCAAAGCATGCAAGGAACAGAGGAAGTTGCAGAAAGAGATGGCCAGCAGACAGATAGAATTCATAATATAAAAGAAGATTTTTCAAGTAAACATATCGGCGTGTCAAATTAAATATTGATATTACAATTCTGATGTTATAAAATGAAAGCGTATGCTGTGACCATAGATTTCCTTTGAGGCCACAGAAGACACTAGGGCCACAGTCCTCATCCTAAGTGATATAAGTGGTCTAATAAGGTAGTAAGGTTTCTTATTGGGTACAGACATGGCCTCAGACATGGGCCTTCTTATTCTGATTTTATTGATTTGTGTGATTGTTCTTCAATAGCATCCTTTTTTTTTAATACAGTTTAATAATGTATGCTTTTTAGTGTGACATGTGACTTCTTCCTATTTTCATATATTTAAATGCTAAGTTTTTATGTAAAAATAATAAATGCACATGTTTTTTAAGCAAGAAAAAAATCTGCATGTATAGTTTTTTTCTCAGGAGCCTGTAGAGCATTGCACCTGTGATCAGTGAATTGCGCGTGCATTGTCAGGCTCCTGCAGACATATACTACAGCTTAGGGTAGTGTCAATGGATTACAGGATCGCTGATCAATGCTCTCATAGTCCAATGAGAACTACAAGCCACTGATGCGGTGGCAGACAGCACTTGTAGTTCAATCATTCACAGATCTCTGTGAATAAATGACATGGCTGTGTGAGTGGAGCCCTACACAGTCACAATGATTTTAAATGTGACAGTGGCTGCAGGGAGAGAAACCCACATCCACTGTCACAGGCGGAATTCTGGCTGTGAGTGGTAATTTGTAGTGACTTGTTACATGTAACGTCTTAAATATGTTAAACTTAGCCTTTAAGCTGTATTGCTGTATGGTTGTGAGGATATGTACATTTTTTGGTCTCTGTTTAGCCTAATTTTAGGTCTAACATTTAGAGCATAGTTTTTTTTTCATTGTATCAATAGTGTTTTAACTATTGGACATATTCAACAGACATGTCATCGTTATCAGTATATTATTCTTATATGTATATTTTTAGCAGCAATACTGCTTTATTATAATTCATTATTATTCTTATGTGTGTATGTCTGATGAAAGGGGATTTTGTGCTCCCCAAAACAACTGGCTGTCATTTGCTCTTTTTGTTGTAAACAGTGGAACAATAAAGACTTTAGACTCAAGACTTTTCATTTGGTGTTCTCTTTGACTCATTGACTAAGGGTCTTTGTCTTTTCACATGGGGGTCACTGGATATGAAAACCACTGCTTTCTTGAAAACCTCTATTTGGAGTGAACCAGTCAAATTTATTCTCATGCTTATCTCCTTGCTTTGTACCTGGGCACATCATATTCAGCACAGCAACACCAGACTGTGCAGGTGTTACATTGTCACAATAATTACTTGAGCTTTCAAAGATTTTACCCCATTCACGACCAAGCCATTTTTTTTGCTATACCAAACTGCACTACTTTAACTGTAGTAGCATTCTTGCAGCCATTGAGAAATACTGTGAGAGCTGTGATTGGTCACAGCTTGTCGCATGGTACAAGGCTGTTGTGAATAGCCTTGTACCATGTGATCTCTGTGATCATTCACAGATTTCACACATAGTAAGCAATGATGTCAGAAGTGACATCTTCCTTACTACTATTCATGCGATCACTGATTGGCCAATCAGTGATCACGTGATCAAGGCCTTACACAGAGGCACCCCGTAGGTGCCGCACGCTCCCAGGGAGCGCGCACAGGCAATGAACGCGGAGGCCATTTATAAACAGCCACCCGCTCCTGCACTGCTCCCATCTGGCCATTTATGTACACAGGCCAGACGGGAAGTGGTTAAATAAGGGGTCATGGATCTGTGGTTGCTGTGTGATTCACATGCGATCTGGGTGCAATGTGATTTTAGCCCATTCATTTGAATGGGCTGAAATCACACCAGACCACACCAAAAGTAGCGCATGCACCACTTTAAAAAAGACACAGTACGCACTGTACTTGCGACCTGCATTTGGGGTGTCGTTAAGTTAACATCAACACCTGCTGCAATGGATTTTGTATGCAATGCTGGAAACATGCACAGAACGTGAGTTTCCAGTACTGAGACCTGCACAGGGACGGACTGACCATTTGGAAACTCGGGCACTGCCCGAAGGCCCGGAGTCAGTAGGGGGCCCCATGAGATGCCCCTGGTACCTTTTTCATAGGCTTTTTTGAGTTTGGGCAAGGACACAGGGGCTTGATGAACCCCTATTGCCCGGGGCCCCTATGAGTTGTCAGTCCGCCCCTGGCCCTGCGTCAACGGGTCATGACTCAATGCATGGGTAGAGGTATAAAAACAAAGAAAAAAACATCTTCAGTTGCCTGAGGTCACTTTTTTATTTCCTATTAGCTGACTTTTTTGCATGTAAATAAAACAGGTCAAATCAGTTAATCGAGCATATTCTAAACTGCTGCAGTAGAAAATATTTTTTAATACATGTAAAAATTCAAGGTGTATGGTTTTGGTGACAGACAAATCCACTGACAAATGGCAAGAAAAAAAAGACTTTAATCTACCAGCAGAGAGAACATAAGCGCCTGATGAGGACAGTTCCTAAAGAAAGAAAAACTCCTGACAAATACAAGGCACTGTTCAATGGCAGTTGTGCCTTAGAAGTGTCAATCAAGAGTTACTTGTGTAGGACTTGTAAAGGAGAATTCATGATTGATAAAGTGCATGGACTTTCTAGGCAGAACTTTACATTTGGTTTGCTGCAAAATGTCATGCTGCTATCAAAGAGAATTCGATAAGATTCCTTCTGTCAAGACAAAACAACTAAGTGTAACTGTATTGAGACGCATTCTTTGTTGGTAGCAGTTAATGTGTAGAGCATGTTCTCTTTCCAGGTGCTGAAAATTGATCATGCCGTGAGAGTCTCATGCTTTGAGAGAGAAAAAAATAAAGAGCATACAGGCTTGTGACCCTGCTGCGGAGAATTCAGAAATCAATTAGAAATGCCAAGTGCACAGATTGTTTTAAAAAATATACTGAAAATGATTCGCATTCCCTTGCTTATTCTTTCAGCTTGTACTCTGTTGCCATGCCAGAAGTACAAAAGCACAACAAATCCCATTGCCCGCTTATAAATGATATATGAAAGTAAGGTTTTCTTATTTGTTTTTGTCATTTCCTCAGTTGTTTATGTGGCTGATTTTTACAATAGCAGTAAACGATAATGGATGTGTCCTTTGAAAGGGATGAACATATTATCATTTAGATTAATATAAGGGAAGAGTGAATTTATCAGTCTCCAGTGGTGTCCTGTATTACATGTCACAGCAGTTCCCAAAAAAACGGAATTGCTGGCATTGCTGGCAGAGGGATCAGCAGTTTATGCTGTGTTTGGGTAGAAATGTAGTGACCTGTGCTTTCCATCAGAGTCATTAGGAGCCCCTCTTCATGAATAAATCACGTGTAAGAGTTGCAGCTCATGGAAGACAAGTCAACATCATGGGGCACAGCTTTAAGGGCCAGTCCACCCAAAACTGATATCTCAGTTTAACCACTTCCCGACCGCCCTACAGCAGACATACTGCTACAGGGTGTCACGGGTGCGCAAAATCACATATATACAGTTGTGGCCAAAATTATTCAACCCCCAATGCTGTAAAGGGGTTTAGGGACTATAGTGTACATTTGGAATTGTATTCAGAATCAAATCTACTACAAGGACGTTGTAACTACCCAAATGCAACTAAAATGACATCAATTGTTTATGTAATACAGTAGTAAATGGTTCTTATGTGGTTTCTTCATTGCCCACAATTATTCAACCCCTTAAAGACTACCACTCTGAAGAACAGAGGTTCATACAGGTGCTTTCCATCAGGTATTGAAAACACCTGTGGATGTCACCGAGCAGCAATCAAGCATAATAAGCACCAATTAGGCAGCTTTAAAATGACTGTGATACTCAGCTCCTTCTAGACATTTACTGGTGTGGTTACAAACATGGTGAAGGCAAGAGAACTGGTCCAGGAAGACAAGAGAAGAGGTGATTTCTCTTCACAGGAAGGGCAATGGCTATAAGAAGATTGCAAAGATGTTTAAACATACCAAGAGACACCTTAGGAAGCATCATTCGCAAATTCAAGGCAAAGGGCACTGTTGAAACGCTACCTGGTCGTGGCAGAAAGAAGATGCTGACTTCGACTGCTGTGCGCTACCTGAAGCGTAGAGTGGAGAGAAGTCCCCGTGTGACTGCTGAGGAACTGAGAAAAGATTTGTCAGATGTGGGTACAGAAGTTTCAGCCCAGACAATAAGACGCACACTGCGTAATGAAGGCCTCCGTGCCAGAACTCCCAGGCGTACCCCCTTGCTGTCTCCAAAGAATAAGAAGAGTCGACTGCAGTATGCCAAAAGCCATGTGGACAAACCACAAAAGTTGTGGGATAGTGTTCTGTGGACTGATGAAACAAAATTAGAACTGTTTGGGCCCATGGATCAACGCTATGTTTGGAGGAGGAAGAACAAGGCCTATGATGAAAAGAACACCTTGCCTACTGTGAAGCATGGTGGAGGGTCAATCATGCTTTGGGGCTGTTTTGCTTCTGCAGGTACAGGGAAGCTTCAGCGTGTGCAAGGTACCATGAATTCTCTTCAGTACCAGGAGATATTGGATGGAAACGTGATGCAGTCCGTCACACACCTGAGGCTTGGGAGACGTTGGACCTTTCAACAGGACAATGATCCCAAGCATACCTCCAAGTCCACTAGAGCATGGTTGCAGAGGAAAGGCTGGAACATTTTGGAGTGGCCATCGCAGTCACCAGACTTAAATCCGATTGAGAACCTCTGGTGGGACTTAAAGAAAGCAGTTGCAGTGCGCAAGCCTAAGAATGTGACTGAACTGGAGGCCTTTGCCCATGAAGAATGGGCGAAGATACCCGTAGATCGCTGCAAGACACTTGTGTCAAGCTATGCTTCACGTTTTAAAAGCTGTTATAACTGTAAAAGGATGCTGTACTAAGTACTAAGATTGAATGTCACTTGGGGGTTGAATAAAACTGATAATGCTGTGAGCACAGAAAAGACATTTGTGGTTATTTCATTATACTGTTAACTGTTATGTTATATTTGTCTGACCTACAAGTGCCTCTTTTAATGTAAATGTAAGCAAGATGACTGAATGATCAAAGCAATGTCAAACTGGCCAAAACACTCAATTTCAGTGGGGGTTGAATAATTTTGGCCACAACTGTATGTGATTTTGCATCTCCAGGTAGGGGGCGTGCACCCTACCCACGCCGCCATTCAAGGCTATGGCTGTCAATCACCCGGGTCCTGGCCGGTGATTACTCGTTGGCGCCCGGAGATTACTGAGGATCTCCGACAGGGAGGAGAACTGTTTTATTTACTGAGAGTTCTCCCTGTCAGTTCAGGCACACTGCTTTGGATGGCTGTGTAAAACACTCCCTGCACACAGTTAACCCCTTGATCGCCCCTCATGTTAACCCTTTCCTGCCCAGTGCCATTAGTACAGTGTCAGTGCTTTTTTTAGCACTGATCACTGTAATAGTGTCACTGGGAATGTCAGTGACACCAAGTAAGTTCCACCCAGTGTCAGAATGTCCGCCACAGTCCAGTAGTCCCACTATAAGTCACTGATCACCGCCATTACTAGTAAAAAAAAATTTTTTAAATCCCAGTATATATACCACCATTTGTAACATTATAACTTTCACATAAAGCAATTAATTTACACGTATTGGGATATTTTTTAGCAAAGACATGCAGAAGAATACATTTTGGCCTAAATTTATGATGAAATTAGATTTTTAAAATTTTTTTTACTGTGCATGTTTAATAGCAAAAAGTCAAAAATATAGTTTTTTTCTCAAAATTGGCAGTCTTTTTGTTTATAGCGCAAAAAATAAGAAACTGCGTCAGACATGCATACAAGCACATACAAACTACATTTTAGCAAAATGGACTAACCTGCTGCATCATTTTTTCACTTTGATTGTCAGGGTGTCTGAATTCAGTCCTCTTTAGGTTGATAATTTTCATTTCCATCAAACGATGGGGCATACTTTTGTTTCTAACACATTACCCAGTCCATATCAGAATAGATATCCAGCATGATATTTTTCCCCATTGAGATCTGATGTGTTTTCAAAGTGTTCTTTTAATATTTTTTGAGCAAATATATATATATATATTTGTTTTTAATTATCAGCAAATAAAATGTTAGCAATGAAAGGTCTGCACTGAGGTTTATCCTACCAAAACTTGTACTGCAATGAAAATGTTTAAGACATAATGCTCTGGAAGTTTTTCAAATGGTGGTGGATACCTCTGGAAGATACTGCCCATAGATTGGAACTGTTTATTTAGGCACGCATGACATTATTTTATGTTTTTTTTCCATCCCCACACCTGAGCACTGAACACAAAATACTGCCCCATTTAAACTGAGGTCATGAGAACACCTCATCTCAAAACACAATGATCTGAGAGTCATCATGGTTCAGTTTGCTGAGACAGATGTCTTCTGATTGACTACTGACATGCCCTGATTTGGGGACTTGTCCCAGTATAGTGTATTCTGACATACTAAAGTATTATAAATTAAGCACCGCCAGCATAATAGGTGGTTTGTAAAATGCCATGTTCTGAAAACAGGGAAGATTGTCATATTCTTACATAATGCTATTATGCAAAAATAATATGTATTTTATGCTTTTATCATACAATGAACCACCAAATTTTTTATATTTGTTGCTTTGTAATACCTCTCAGTCCTCTACTTTAACGATTAATGACTCATGGACTTAAAATAAGGCTGCATCAAGTGTTT